GTGTGTATTTTTCATACATAGTGTGTATTGATCCATACATAGTGTGTATTGATCCATACATAGTGTGTATTGATCCATACATAGTGTGTATTGATCCATACGTAGTGTCTATTGATCCATACATAGTGTGTATTGATCCATGCATAGTGTAGATTTGATCCATGCATAGTGTGTATTGATCCATACATAGTGTGTATTCATCCATACATAGTGTGTATACACAGAAACATGTATTGTTGCATCCCTAATATATACATTTAGCACAAACATTAAGGAAATTAGTGTTTGGTAGATTATTTCTTTGTTGTAACAGTGCTTCTTGACAGTAAAKCCTATATCGTTGGAAGGTCTGTTGATTTCTCATTTAAATGGTGCCACATTTGTAAGGAACATGCATTTGTGGGATGAGAGGTAGAACTGAGTATGTGGGTTGTGTACCTGAAAAATTAGCCAAATCTTCTCTGAAATACAGCTCATTTTGCTKTTGACACTTATTTTGAGGGACTGGTCCCCCAGATGCTGCCAATAAAATTTATTGCCCAGAATCTTTGTTACAACAAGGAAATAATCCTTTACGTTAGACAGAACCTAACATTTGACACCTCCTGTATGTTGGAACTTTAAGGTGACGGCCAACGACCCGGACACAGACACCAATGGCCTGGTGACCTACAGCCTGGAGTCCCTGCCTGACGGCCCCCCGCTCGACATCACCGAGGTGTTTGCCATCGACGGGGAGAGTGGCTGGATCACCACGGTGCAGGAGACGGACTGCGAGGCCACCAGGGTCTACAGGTTCAATGTGGTGGCCGTCGACCACGGTGGAGACGTCAAGCTGTCGTCCAGCGTCCTGGTGGAGGTGATGGTGACCGACCAGAACGACAACCCTCCGAAGTTCACCGACGACACATACCGCGGCTCCGTGGTGGAGAACATCATCCCGTTCGAACCCATCGTTTCCATGATGACGACAGATGCAGACGTTTCCCTGGAGAACCGCCTCGTGACATGTTACATCACAGGTGTGTGAGCGTGGTTTTATGGATTTGAGCCTGAGCTTGTTTCTCTTAGTTTTGTGTATTTCTGCCTTCCAGTACTTACTTATGATCCTATTTGTGTTTTTCTGTGCAAGCAAGCGTGCACTTTTTAATCAGCGAAATCAGAGTCCTTCTGTGGGATTCATCAAGACATTAATGTGGTGAAATGAAATATTTGGTTATTGCCCTCCACTGAGTCATATTCAGCCCCAGATTAATCCCAGAGAGGAGCAGAACGACAGCAGAAGAATACCAACTGGATGCCCTGCAGCTAACAACACAAACAAAGCTGTGAATTAATGCAAATCCCCGACAGTTAAACTGTTGTAAAGGAGCTCTCTGTCACAACACTCTGCTTTGCAGGAGGCAAGTGTTTGTGTTGGAATTATATATAATGGCAGGGTTCGGCTTGTGTCGACACTGCTTGTCACACAAACAAAAGCAGAAACAAATGCAAATTAAAGTTGCCCTCTACCAAAGTGATTTATTTGAGGATATTGCTTATTTAGAGCACAACAGGGTTTAATATTCATTACTATTGATTTCAACATGTTTTCTCCACAGAGAACGTCTCGGTGTGCAGAACCCAGCTGCYAAACTAGTGACTGCTGATAGAACTAAGCACACAAAGGAAAATAACGCACAAGTGCTCCGGTTTAGGCAAAATTATTAAAACAAGAATATTTTTATTATTCAAGACCCAACAACACACAAGTGAGAGGCCATTTAAACCTCACTTAACACCTGTTCACCATTTAAAATTGTTTATATATTCCTACAGTCGATTACTTGAGTCTGAACTGTTTGTTTGGGAAGAAAATTCCACAAATCACCTCTCAGATGAGGTGTGTTTCTTAAATTGCACTGCAAAAACTGTCCATCTTACAAAGTTTTAAAATTTTGTATCCAGCCAAAAAGTCTTTTTGATCTTGTTTTGAGGCTGATTTACTAAATAAGAACTGATTGTGTAAGAATAATCATCTTGTTTTCAGAATGTGTAAGATTATTTGTCTTKTTAGTCTGAAAATTTGACTCGAATTAAGTCAAACATTTCTGCCAGTGAAGTAAGAAAAATTGACATGGTAAGATTCTTGAAATTCTTGATTTGACTCAGTTTTTTTCTTATTTCAAGAATCTTACCAAGTAAAAATTTTCCTACTCCATTGGCAGAAATTTTTGACTTAATTCGAGTCAAATTTTCAGACTAAAAAGACAAATAATCTTACACATTCTGAAAACAAGATGATTATTCTTACACAATCAGTTCTTGTTTAGTAAATCAGTCTGAAAACAAGATCAAAAAGACTTTTTGACTGATATGAGATTTAAAACTTGGTAAGATGGACAGTTTTTGCAGTGTGAATACTTGAGCAATTGGAAAATAAAAAGAAATCAAAAATGTTTTGTTTTTTTAGGAATGTTTTTACAACTAGATACAGCGTATCAGTAGTATATACAGTATGTCCCCCTGCAAAGCACCAATGCACCAGAACTCACCAGAACAGATTTATTGCTTTGGGTGGGAGTCTGGAGGTGGCTCATTGGTGGGCCAGATGGATAGCCCTTCGTCAGAGTTAAACACCAAAAAAAAAATCTGAAGCGCCTATGTTGAATAGTTTTTAAGCTATAAGCATTTTTGTATGTCCAGACACCCCATTTTAAGATGGAGCCCCCTCCTTAAGTATGGGGTTTATCGTAAAACCGTTGACTGGAGCAGTGTAGGTCAGTCACATCTACATTCCTGCCAAATTTCATGTTGATCGATGCAGCTGTTTCCGTGCTATGGTTGACCAAAAATCACTGAAAAAATAAATGAATGTAAAAATAACGAGCATGAAAACAATATGGCCCCCGGTTCATGTGCGGGGGCCATAACTAATTATAAAACAGTTAAAGAACCAAAGAGAGTCAGCGTAATCTTCCCATGATGACAAACCCTGCAGGGCAGAAAACAGAAAGGATTTATCGTTCATCCGTGCCRTGAAGCAACAACAGAGGCTCCTGCCTCGGACTGGTTTGAAACCATGACTCAGCGTTCTGTTACGCCTACAGACGGCGACCCGCTGGGCCAGTTTGCCATCATCCAGGAGGACGAGGGTCAGTGGGGTCTGATCGTGAAGGAGACCCTGGACCGAGAGACCAAAGACCGGTACGCCCTGAAAGTGACGGCCACCGACGGGAAGTTCGAGGCTCCGGTCACCGTGGACGTCCACGTGCTGGACATCAACGACAACAGTCCGGTGTGCGAAAAGGTGAGTCCTGTTTTTGGTTGAGTACTTGGAGTCTTTAGGAGGGCAGAAAATTAAAATGTGACCCATCATATCGAAATGAGGATTAAGTCAAATTTGATCAAAATGACTTAATTACATTTTCAGATTCCTGCTTTAAAATCTACATTTTGGTACCTGGACCATCCTGATATCATTAGTGGATCCAGATATATGACTTAAATTATCTTGTTGGTTACAATAATACTTGGTCTGAATCCTAATTTTATGTCATTTTAATGAGGAATTTTTGATGTCATTATAAAGAAAAAACTTCAAATAGTATTTGAATATTGACGTTTTCCAGCTGGAAAGAAATAAAAATATTTCTAGCTCACAGGAAAATCTCAAAATTTTTAGGCGTTTTTGTTSAAAATCTTTTTATTTTTTTTGTTGCTACTGCTCAAAAAAGGTGCTTCATATTTATGTTTTATGATCATTTTTCAGACAGTTTGTTCAAATGATACATTGATAAGGCTTTTATTTATTATGCTTTGACATTTTAATCAAAACATTATATTTGCCTATTTCTCCATAGACCACTTTTAGACAATCCTGATTTCGATGTGATGGGTCACAAATTTAGTTTCTCTCAGTGCTTCAAATGTTTTGTTTGAGTCATATTTTTTAAACCTGCTCATTTTCTCTATTTTCTTTGAAGTTCTCAGAACGATTACATCAAATTATTTGTGATGGGGCTTTTGAATAAGGTTTGAACTTGCCAACTACAGTTTGGTGGTCTTCATTCTCTTCTGGCTCTTGGTCTTTGTCAAACTCTGGGTCAAACTCTGGCTCCAACATGTAAGGCTGGATAGACGGGTCTTCCTTTGTTCTCTCTCATTTCTCAATTCATTTGTAAATAAAACATTTCTGCACTTCTAGATAAATGATACCACCTTCTATCAAGCTGCAATGAACAGGTCTGGAAGCTGGAGGGGGCGGGGTTTGAAGTGCCTCCTTTGGATTTAAAGAAACTTAAATTGAGTTAATCTGAGACACACCCCCAAAAAAAGGGGGGGCTTACCCACCCAAAAAGGGGGGGGGGGGCTTTTGGAATTACAATAAGGAGGAATTCAGACTAAAGCGTTGCAGTTTCACTTCATAGAGACCCCAACTGAAGGACTTTAATGTGAAAAATAAGCATGAAATTTGAAAATATATGAAATTTTAACCTCAAATCTGACGAATTTTTATCCCTTCACAGTAAACTCTGGCTAATTTTAAAATCACACACAGCAGTTGTTTTGATTTGTTAAACCCTCAGAGACCACCGGACCGGTCCCAGGTTCTGATTTTCTGTTCTGGTTCCAGCTGGTGTACACGGAGGGGGTGATGGAGAACACGCCTCCCAGGGTTTTCGTGCTCAAAGTTTCAGCTTCAGACCCCGACGTGGGAGTGAACGGCGAGATCACGTACACGCTCCACGGTCCGCACGCTAACAAGTTTCTTCTGGAACAAAGGACAGGTATGATGGTTGTTGCTCATCGGCGCCGTGATTTTAAAAAATGTTTCTAACATCTGATCCGTCTGCAGCTGCTCTCTGCTGCTAAAACCGGAAACTTCTTGTTCTTAGATCATTGTAATTTTTAGTGCCTCCTCACTGACATCATCTATGGTGTGTCGTTTGTAAAGTTACACAGTGAAAAATTACCACCAATATTTTTGTTTTATTTAGACTTTTATAAGAAAAAAAGAACAGATTTATTTTTCAAAGTCAGTTTTTCACCATATGATTCATACATTTATAAATGTCATAGTT